ATCTACAACTCTAACATAAAATAATCTGAGTTTCTCACTGATTCCTCTGAAAGCATTTTTACAGCCAGATTCCATATGACTCTTCCAGGTATGCCCAGGAAAGAATATACAATAGTCTACTCCTTTGTATGTCGGCATAACTATATATAGTTGGCTTTCAGAAAACACAAGTTCTGCTCCGAATCGTTCTGCACTAGCACTGGCAAAGGAGTGCTACCATTTCCAAAAGATGAAAGTGGAGCAAAGGGCTAAAGAAACAACCAGAACTGAGCAAGAGAACTGCACCTTTTCCTTTAAAAACAGTAATGAAAGCTTTCCTGTAGTGTTCTGCAGCAAAAATAGTTGAACTACCCTCATTTAAGATACTCTGAATGTGTATTAAGCGTGATGAAGATGATAAACACTGCTAAGCTTTGAATGTCCAGGTAAGGGATTGCTACAGCCACAAACTCTCCTGAAAATGATTAAAACTCTGAATCACAGAGATATATAAATATACTGTCCTAAATTTAACATATTGCAGATTATCAGCATATGATCATGGACTTGTTTCCTGGCAACTGAAGACATACAACTCTTTGATGAACACACATACACATATATATAGCTCTCCTGACATGGGCGGCAGGGGGAAGCTTTCTGTGAAAAAATTGCTTCTTTACCTCTTAGCTCATATTGGTGAGCACATCACACAAGTTTTAATCACAGAATCCGATACTCTATGCAAGTACACCAATTTTATGCAATGCTATATCCAGCGCTGCAGAGATGATCATTCCCACAAGTGCTCGCTGCTCACCAACTCTCTGTTAGCAAAAAGCCATAATTATCCTTCTCTGTTCTCTTTGTTTTTCTTGCTCAATTTATTTGCAAAACGTTGTGAAAGGAGGGTCTTGGTATGTCCACAAGTGAATCGAGATTCTCGTTAAAAGCAATTAGGACATCTGAAAGTCATGTTGCAGCAGAGATGGATCCTTCAAAGCAGAACTACAGTGGCATTTAGTTTTCACCTACCTACTGTCTGGTCTTCCTCAGGTTTTTTAATAAACAACATTCACCTCTTTGATTACAATGAGAATGCCATTCCTGAAGCTGGTGAGACTGACCACAGTTTGCATGGCTCTTCAGATGTCAATATGGGAGTTGAAAATCTGGCCTTTAGGCATAACTTCCTTTTCTAGGTTGGTTTGTTTTCCAAAATTAAATTTTATATTTTCCAAGTCTTGTATTCAATTATATTTTATAAATTTGGGGAGCAGAACAGATCAAAGCTTCATATTTTCTAGAAATGACCAGTCTCAAGCATGAGAAAGTGAAGCAGGATAAACAGTTTACAGAGATGGTAAGAATATTAAGTAGCCAACACAATAGGAAAATCCTAACATCATCTCCATTCCTTCTCCCTTCCTTCCTCTTTTGTCTTTAAAAACAAGCTACCATTTTAAAAAATAGGTTTATTTTTGCTTATATACCTAATACACAAGAACATTAACATATTAAAAGAGGGGATTGCCTTAATCTATGTCCCTTTTTCCACTAACCATGTCTGTCCATAAGGGAGAGGAAAGCAGAGAGAGAGACAGATAGTTCAATCACTTCCAGATTTTAATGTAGCTGTCTCTCAGCTTCAGCATTTTGTTTTGTCATTATCTGAAGATCCAGAGTCTGTTTTGGTCCCTTGTTTAGCTTTAGTGTCCATTGTTTTGTGAATTTCTTCTCCTATATGCTAATAAACATCAAAGGATTTATGGAAAAGTGCCATCCTAAGTGTCTTGCAAGCATTACAGCAAACAAATAAAGGAAAATACCTTCATGATTTTAAAGAAAAATGTAGACAATCAAACTCCTTATGACTTGTCATTTGCATGGCTTCATTTCATACAAATTAGTGCTATTGACATATGAAATTTGTTTAGAAATCAAACTTGTTTCAATGCCTAAACAGAAACAGCATGGAATGTTTGGATAAAATAGTCCATGTTAGGACTGACTGTGCAGTCAAGAGTGTTCCAGCTGCAATCCTGTGCTTAGCATGAAATGAGTACAGAGAAAAATTTAGCTCCCGTTATGCCTATCCATATCGACACACTAGGTCAGGGTATTATCTAAGTCAGATGTCTCTGGCTTCAGGGAAGAGTGCAGTGTTGTCTTTTCCCTGCCCACATGCCTTTTGCAGGATATTTGATCACTGTAGTGTTCAAGGACCCCAGATGCTAGGACAGCCAATAGCCAAAACCTGTTTATACAACAGAGCTGCATCTCCAGTAAAAGTTAAAGCTGCCTTAAAAGTCTACAGAAAACACTACTCGATTCTGAAATGTATTGATATATCAGCAAGGTATTGTTACATACTGTTTTCACAAGTCTCCCAGTATAATTAGTAATAAATTTATCCCTAAATTCAAGAAGGAATTCCCAAACAGACAACTACTTAGTTGAATTTATAGAAAGTCTTTGAAGGAGCCTGTACGTTTCCATTTTGTTGGTCAATAACCAGCTATAATGCCAGTGTTAACCTAACACTTTTCATTATTAAAAACATTTTTGAGATGAATAACTCTTTACAACGAGCTGAACTTTTGCTGTAAGACATCTCTCAAAATGTCTTTCACAACAGGTAAAGTGGGCTAATTAGCAACTCTTGCTTTCAAAAGACTTTAAAAGAATCTCAAACCCTGAACTATTTCTGTTGTAGCACGTTAGACCAGATTGTGATCTCAGTCGTAGTAGTGTAGCAATATAATGCAAGTTGCTGTGCCTAAGTAAATGCTCGTCTATCCTCAGTTGAGTTATTTCAGATTTATATAAATGCAAACAGAACATAACTGAGCCAAAGTATATTAAATTAATGACATGTGGCATGGTGAAAATGCAGCAGTCTATGCAAAACCACTTTCAGAATCTATCAAGACTCATCAAGTACATACTGTTTAAAAATAAATAAATAAATATTATTTTAATTTTTCTTCTTGTAGTATGTTAATAGAGAAAAAGGAATGAAATGCTACAAAATTCCCAAAATACTAAACTTTGTAATTACTAAACCTTATATACAGAAGTATTGTTTGGTATATTTCGTATCATGGATTATCACAATTGGCTTTCACAAGCATTCTTTGAAACGATAAGAATCTGTCCATCCACAACTGAAGTATTCTTGCAGATTAAGATTAATGTATTATGAATCATCACGGTTTAATATGCGTGACACAGTTTCATTTCACACATGTTCTGCATGGGTTGATTGCCATGTATGCCAATATCAAACAGATGTTAATTCTTTAATTTTTATGCTTCCAAAGTATATTTTAATTACATAGAAGGCTTTGCAAAGAAGACGAGGGAGGCATTTTGAAGCAGATTTAATGGGAAATCTAAAATAAAAATTCATTAGAAAAATAATTTTTAAAATTCTTGTTTTCAACAGCATAAATTTTACTATTAAAAAGAATACATGACGTGCAAAGGAACTGCAGACTGTTGTCATTAAATGGCACATTCCTTTTTGCAAACAAGAAAAGAATTTTTCATTATCTTTCTAATAAAAAACCCTCATGATTTTAAAAGCCCTTCCAATTAAACACTAGTTTTGTGATACGAAATATTTGTGCAAGTCACTCACAAGGCATTGTATGTTTATAGTTTGTGTAAATTTTGCAAAGAAATCAAGTCTCCATCTAAAACATCACTATCTAAATTCTCACATCAACAGTGCTGTGTGTCTCATTTTATGGATCATCTAAATTAAAAAGTCCTTAAATACAAAATATTTCACAAGTCTCCACTGTACTGAGGCCAGAAATGGAAATTAAAAGATATCCTAGGTTAGGATTAACGTACAATGAGAAAGCTGTTTCCAGCCAGCACTAGCTCCCGCTTCATGCTGTGTCAGATTCTCCAGAACCAGAACAGCAGCGGAGCCACAGGTCAGGATGGGAGAGTGTTGGCTAAAAACTGTGAGCTTTAACTAATTCCTCTTTTGATCAAATGTAGTTGTTAAGAGTAATTTCCATGGAAGTTAAAGCAGGTCTCTAGCTTTGGGCCTGATCTTAATGAAATCAACAGGAACAGGAATGGCTCCCAGGGATTTTGCACTAGAATTAGTTTTAGCAAGCTGAAACTATCTCCAGATTGAAAATTACCAAAACATAACAGTAATAATAGAAACAGTGTTATGATACATAGTTTAAATAGAAGATAAACAATAATAGTAGATAAAGTACTATGAAAAATAAGATATCCTGCCCCTCCCCATACCAAAGAGATCTTTTTGCTCAGTAATACTCCCAGCACCAGACAAATTATTTAAATTTCTTGCTTACATACTTACATTTTCTGGCATATAGCTTTAAAGTGAAAATGTGAACTGACATTTTGAAAAATAACTGACAGTGATGGCATAGAAGTGCAGTGACTTCTGTACTCCAACATTCCTTTTTTAAAAATTATTTTATTTTCTTTTTTAAAATGCCCAAATACATGTGAGGTACTAGAAATAAAATGATAATTACCAATGAAACTCTACTTCCAAGGAAGTAAAAAAATATGACATTCACATTGAATTTACTGGGACAAGAAATCCAAAATGTGGGGTTTACACACACCATACAAAACACTTGTGCAGAGTTCTGAAAGCATACACTCATCGCATTGCAGGGAATCAAGTCTGCATTCCTTGCTTAACCAAAACTCCCTGACTGGAATAACAGCTTTAGATGTTATTTTTGTTCTCATCCTGTTTTACTATGTTAAATCACCAGATTTTTTTTTCTTTTTACTTAAGATAAATGTGTGAAGGTGCCTCCTTTCCATTCATAGATGTTATCTTCCTCAAACTTCAAATGATTCAGCTGGGTGAACACAGAGTTATAAATAATTTATCAAGATACATACCAGTTGTTAGGGGAAAAAAAGCCCTGAAGGAAGAATATCACTGCGTAAAATCTGAACATTAAAAACGATTTTTTTTTTTCAAATCAATCTTTAATTGCTTTTATTACCTCCTAGTCCAGGTCTGAGACGATTATCATAACCATCCAGAAGTCTGTCTAGAATTCTTGTAAAGATGGTGATGTTATTCTTAGCTTCGTCTTCCAGGGAGTCAGCCAGCACAGATCTAAATGGACAGTTTACATTTTAGAAAGTACTAGATACGTTTTAATGGACACTCAACACGCACTTTTTGCGGGCTGGCCTTGCATATTTAATTTGCTGCCCTCTAACAGGATGGGTGTAGTTAAAAATACACGAATAGACTATAACACATTCAGAAACATAAGAATCTACAATATACTAAACATTTCTAGGCAATCATTTTCCAGTATCCTCTACTTCTAGTCGACACCACGTCACCGTGAGCGCTACTCCAAGCTCCATGAACACACCTGGCTGTGCAGGTGCAAAAATGTGAGCGAGCTTCCCCAGGCCTCGGTGGCATGTCGTTCCCGGACTGATAACTCGGGTTCCCAAACACAAAACTGTCTCCTTCCAGCTCTACCCTATCTGTCCTCACCTAAGAACACTCTGTCTCTGGATAAATCCTGTGGATATGCTTCCACCCAATGGTCATGTAATGTACATGACCAGAAGAACTAACATGAGGGGAAAACTCCAGCAATCATGCTCAGGGAGTCCTCTGATGTCAGTATTTGGTGGGTGGGAACAAGGATGCTGACTAGCAAGCTGCAGGATAACTGTGGATAGCCTTCATCTTTTTAAAATGCTATTTCATTACAAGAAGCCCAGCTGATGTTCCACTAGATGCATACAAACCTTACGTAAGTCAGACAGAAAAAAAAGACCCATAAATGACATGTCAAGAAGAATCTATAGATCATCGATTGTTTAAAACTTCCCGAATAAAGAGAGAAATGTGACAGCCTTTATGGGTCAGATCACTGTGGAAAACACCAGGGGCTGGAACATGAACCTGCTGCCCAGCCAGCTCCAGTGCTGACCAGTCCTCCCGGATCTGGACACCCAGACCAAAGGTTTTGTGTATGAGGGAAACACTCCCACATAGAAAGCCTTATGCATGCAAATGTTCCTGTGCCAACAGTATTAAGCACTGTGCATGGGAAATACATCAGCTCATCAGTTTTGCCTACTTAATACCAGAATATTAGCATCAAGGAAGTACAGCATCATATGCTACAGGCATTATCATTTATACATTTTTCAGCCTAAAACCCCTAAATTTTTAACCTGAAATGCTTGAATGTTTGTCATCTCTAAACGAACTACTGTTCAAGGCATTCTGAATGCCATAAAACCAAGCATGTTTTCTTTCTCCTCCAAACCAAAAGCAGGTTTGGGTGACATTTTCTCTGAAGCAAGCTATAAAATGATTAAAGACAGAGCTTAATGCTGGTCCCCAATTCAACAGCATCGAGGAAGTATGTAAATGTAAATCATTGCAGTCTGTGTTTTCTATCACACATACCATAGAATCGACCAAGATCAGATAACTTACAAAGAACATATCAGAACGTCACGTGTGCTTTTACTGATTTGTGAATAATTTTAATTATTGGATGGCTTGGTTTTTATTTTAAAAATATATTTCTGTGCATTAAGTCTGTGCCATTTTTTAAGCTTCTTTTTGAGATACAACTGCTCTTTTGAACTCAAGACACTACTAAAAATTTAGATCATACAATTATATCAAATTAGAGATGAATCCTGCAAACTTCACTCGGGCATAAACTCCTTAATTACGCAGGTAGTCTCTTTGACGTCAGTGAGATTACTCACTTGAGTAGGGTTTTGCAGGATCTGGCCCACTGTGACTCAACTAATACTGCACCAGTTAGGCACAAAGTGAAATAGGAAACATAGTTTCAGTAAATATTTTGTTCACCAGAAAATAGACAAAAATAAGTGCAGACTTTTTACATCATAGGAAACTTGCACTATTCGGCTTACAACCCTTACCATATTAGGATAAGACCTACTGCAGTCAGAACCAAAGCAAGTAAACTAAAGTTACAAACTACAATTAGTTGCAGGTTTAGGGACTGTGAGGAACACAAAACTATTACATGATGAAAATTACTTTCTCTTACGTTGTCACTTTAGAAATTGAGAACTTTAAACAATATAGGAAAAGTTGATTAATAAATGAGGCTATTGTTTTATTATATGTGATTGTGAAGTTGTATGCTATCTCCACCTAGAGGTTTAAAGCTTAAGTATCATTTTGAATTCTGTTATGTTGACCAAGAAATACACCAGAAAAAAAAAAAAAAGGGCATGCCTCTACTAAAAAATATGTGAGTGTTATCTTAGAGGCTGTAATTTGCTATCTGACTTCACGATAATCTGTTTCTGCATCTTAACGGTTCTTTATGGTAGAGAATCCCAGTGATACAGTAACTCCAATAAACCTTTAAGATCCAATAAGGCATTTAAAGGAATTATTTTTTAATGGTGAAATAAAGCACCCATTCACAAACTGTTTAATGAGAAGAGATTAGGCTTATAAGGTCCCTAGACTACCTTCTACTGCCTTTGCTCTTGAAACTATGTAATACTGCATTCAAACAGCTAAGAAAGACCTTTTTATTACATTACTACGTACTATACTTTTATAACACGAGCTTTCCCTTAACAGATCTTAACAAACACGTTTGTACCAGACAACAAAATTAAACATCCTCTCACCTGGTTGGTAGCCACACCAATAAAACGAGAAGAATCAACTGCATCCTGGAGGGTGCCAGCTTCCTCTTCATCGCTGCTCTTTGCAAAACCTAACCGTGCAAGAAAAACACAAATCTACTCTCAGCCACAGTGAGTCTCCACCAAGCAGTGCTTTCAACTTAAACCGAGGAAAAATATGTCACTTCAGTGGAGAAAGGAAACCACCGGATTTCTGCAGCACTTTTCACTCCTAGCAACTTATTGTATCTCCATCTTTCCCAACGATCCTGCTCTGTGCAGAGAG